GAACTGAACTAGAACTGAACTAGAACTGAACTAGAACTGAACTAGAACTGAACTAGAACTGAACTAGAACTGAACTAGAAACTGAACTAGAACTGAACTAGAACTGAAACTAGAACTGAACTAGAACTTAACTAGAACGGAACTAGAACTGAACTAGAACTGAAACTAGAACTGAACTAGACTGAACTAGAACTGAACTAGAACTGAACCTAGAACTGAACTAGAACTGAACTAGAACTGAACTAGAACTGAACTAGAACTGAACTAGAACTGAAACTAGAACTGAACTAGAACTGAACTAGAACTGAACTAGAACTGAACTAGAACTGAACTAGAACTGAACTAGAACTGAACTAGAACTGACTAGAACTGAACTAGAACTGAACTAGAACTGAACTAGAACTGAACTAGAACTGAACTAGAACTGAACTAGAACTGAACAGAACTGAACTAGAACTGAACTAGAACTGAACTAGAACTGAACTTAGAACTGAACTAGAACTGAACTAGAACTGAACTAACTAGAACTGAACTAGAACTGAACTAGAACTGAACTAGAACTGAACTAGAACTGAACTAGAACTGAACTAGAACTGAACTAGAACTGAACTAGAACTGAACTAGAACTGAACTAGAACTGAACTAGAACTGAACTAGAACTGAACTAGAACTGAACTAGAACTGAACTAGAACTGAACTAGAACTGAACTAGAACTGAACTAGAACTGAACTAGAACTGAACTAGAACTGAACTAGAACTGAACTAGAACTGAACTAGAACTGAACTAGAACTGAACTAGAACTGAACTAGAACTGAACTAGAACTGAACTAGAACTGAACTAGAACTGAACTAGAACTGAACTAGAACTGAACTAGAACTGAACTAGAACTGAACTAGAACTGAACTAGAACTGAACTAGAACTGAACTAGAACTGAACTAGAACTGAACTAGAACTGAACTAGAACTGAACTAGAACTGAACTAGAACTGAACTAGAACTGAACTAGAACTGAACTAGAACTGAACTAGAACTGAACCAGAACTGAACTAGAACTGAACTAGAATCTATCGATTGTTTTATATTTCAATATTCTAATAAATGCAGATTTATTTTCAACTTTGGGCTAATTTTAGATTATGTAAATTTTAAATTATTTGTATGATTAAGCAAATTAAACAATTTAAATAATGTTCTTTTGATTTTAAAAATTGTTGCATAAAATATATTTATAAATACTAAGATTTTATAAACAAGTATTAACTAATAACTTCCATAAAATTAATAACCTTTAACAAACACGGATACTACAATATATAAATACAAATTTGTAGTTATTTATTAAACCAACAAACATTATAACACTTTTGATGTTTCTTACTGACAATGTATAATAGGGCGGTGCCATAAAATTTTGTTATCTAATAATAGAAATTGTATTTTAATTATATAAACTAGGTTTCTATTGAATAAAGCTTTATTGGCATTAGTTCTATCAATCGCCTTGGAAGAATAACCTCACCAGAAATAATGACATCGAAAGCTGTTTTTCTTTTAATTGGAACCATTTTAATGGTCTCTTCCTATTTGATGTATTTCTATGTATGTGTACTTAATTCAAATAATTGTCTTCTACATTCTTTACGGCAACAAACAACATTGACAACAACAGAATACATAACCACAAATGATAATATATAGTCTGTACCCCGCAGTTCAGGGAGATTGTTTCGAAAAACTGATTGCACATTTTAACTGATTACATAGATGGAAGGTCTTAACTGATTCAACTCTAGATTACCTAGGAACAACCAACTCCTTGTGAAACTACTGGGTATGTATAAATTTCATATTCTATGTGTTTGTCAGACAGTTTTGTTTGTACCAATGTATGCATGAGCTTTGTTAATTCATAGTGAATTGTTTTAGTGCAATGTGTTAGTAGTGGTAAATAGACAAATGTCCATCTCTGCATGTAGTACTTATCGCAATGTGCGTGAATCTGGTCAATGTCATACCGGCTGTCTGCCTACAAAGACACACACACATGCAATGCTAGAGAAATATCTAAAGCTCAATAAACAGATTGAATAATACGAAATAAATGATGTTGCTTTGTTTCCTTCCTGCTTGTTGTTGTTGTTGTTGGTTTAAACATAAATGTGTATATGCTAATGTCAAGTGTTAGAGTTTATATCTATATACATGTGTAAATATGTATGTGTGTAAAGTAAAATATGTACAAAAGTAATTTGTAACGTGGCTAACCTACACACAAAAACCAATTGCAGTATAAATATTTGTTACGATAGAGAAGATGAAGGCATGAAGAAAATAACTTAAATTATTTATTTCCTTTTTTGAGAGAGGTTTCTATAATAAATCTTATCCACAAATATCTATATAAATAAAGAATATTCTTTTTGAAGATTAGATATCAAAAATATACTTACATTGAAGTATATGCCTTCAAGCCACGAACAATAAATTCTTTTATGTCAAGAATTTTATTATTATTTCTTCGAAATTATTGTTTTTGTCTTGCACCTCCCATGCTATTATGTAAATGTCATAAAGCAGTTATGAAGAAAATGAGTAAAATTGGATATATTAGGTTTTCTTTATATCAATAACCCGAATACCCCGATATTAAGAGAATTAAAAATTTGGCTTATTTTCTCAGATATGCATTCAGGAAATATAGTAAAAATAAATCACGTTATAGAAACATTCATATCAAAACAACAACAGGAGTATTTTGATGACTCTGCTATTTATTACTTTCCTAGCTTGTTTTACAATCTCTGTTCACATTTTCCATATTTATTTGCATATCTGTAATCTATCCATGGGTTATATTATTGTAATGTCCAGTTGTTGATGTTGCTATTATTGTTGTGATATTGTGTCAGAGTGTGTTTTTAATACAAATATATTATAGTTGATTTGAGGGCGGACACTTTATACTAAAAATACATATAAACACTATTATAACCTACAGGCATATTTTGTCGTCCCATATATAAAAACATATAATATTGTATTATATTATATATTGTCTTGTTTATGATAATTTTTTGTAAAGAATCTCCATGTTTATAGATGCTAAAATAAAATGCATACATTAAACAAAATAACACAACAACAACACAAAAAAATGATTTGAAAATGGAATATTTGTATTATATACCTTTTAATGTAAAAACAGAATATACACTGTATAAAATTACAGCTTTAGGCTAGGTCCACATTTTGTATCCGTTTACAATATACACATATAATTTAAATTAATAAATATTTTTGTTATTTTCAATAAATACATATTTATTTGCATGTATATTGGTTATTATATGAATTTAGATGAGAGTATGTTGTAAGTGGAACAGGCAAAATAATTGAAATTGTTGTTTTACATTTTATATTAAGTATATTTTTATGCTAATCGTTTCGGTTTATTTTCTAGTGTAATAATATTGTAAATAAATTAATTGAAAATGAGCAGTAAATAGAATTGATCATGGAATTTATGTTATAACCTTAGGTCTTGCAGAATTTTCACAATGTGCCACTTTGAACCCTATAACCAAGCGACATTTTTTTGCATAAAAATAATATTGAAATCAGTACTCGGAAAGTTTTGTGACTATCAGTCCGTTAGATATCAGTAGCAATTGCTTGGGCTGTTTGGTTGATAATGATATTGTCTAGGGATCATATTATTTGCTTTAAATCCTAGAAGAACTGACTGAGCGAGATCTATTAGTTTCCTTGGAGTCTTTCCAACTTTCACAATAGATAGATTGGAAGACTTACGACATCTGGTAGCTCAATAAGTTTTTTAAGTAAGGCTCTACGATAAGCTTTTTTGCTTTTTTTTTTTTGTTTACTCGGGCTGGTGGTACAACTAACATCTCCGTTTGCACATTTTCAAAAGGAAACTAAGTGAACTGAAAGGAAACGTTCCCACGACAATTGGATATCCGCCCCAGAACGACCCGAATCTCAATTGGCCTAAGATGGTCAACTCAGCAATAGCTGTATCAACCGGAAGTTTTATCACCAGGAAAGAACATCCAGTCACAGCCAATCTGTTACAACAACAACAACTGATGCACGACAATTGGATCTCCAGCTCGGAACGACCCGAAATTTTTCAATATGGTTAAAAATTACTCGGGCTGCTGGTACAACTAACATTCCCGTTTTCACATTTTCAAAAAGAAACTAAGTGAATTGAAAGGAAACGTTCCCACGACAATTGGGAATCGACCCGAATCTCAATTGGCCTAAGATGGTCAACTCAGCAATAGCTGTATCAACCGGAAGTTTTATCCCCAGGAAAGAACATCCAGTCACAATCTGTTACAAAAACAACAACAACAACTGATCCACGACAATTGCATCTCCGGCCCGGAATGACCCGATTCTCAATCGGCCAAAGATAAATTCAATTCAGTTATAGCTGTATCAACCGATACTTTTAACCCCAGGGAAGAACGTCTAGTCACAGCCAATCTGTTACAACAACAACAACAACTGAAAGGAAATCATAGGAACAAAGATTTCTGTGCTTGCCTCACCTCTGCAAAAACCTAGAATGACTGAATGAAATATTCTAAACATTAAAGTATGGTGGTTATCTCTTAAACTCCAGGAGCTGGTGGCTCATTTCCAGCATTATAGTAAAGATAATAGCATGGATTGAGTTAAATTCCAACTTCCATTAAATGTTAAATATACTTTTTCTTGACAACATTAGCAAGTGCTAAAATTGGCTCAAAAATTATAGAGTCTGGCGCACTCTTGATGTGTCTACATTAATATTTACGTGGAGTATCTTATATTTATTAAGACACTAAACTATATTGAAATATCTTAACAATTTAATTCACAACCTTCACAATTAGTTCTTCTCCTTCTTGTCCTAAATTAAAACATCAATTGCTTTAACCTTAGCTGTTGCCAAAGAAAAATAAAAACACCTCTTACTCTTTACTTACCCTTATCATCATAGATTATACGAAATGAATCCGAATGTAAGTGACCGAAAAATTGACCCTGAATAATTGATGAATATTTGCGCACTAATTCCAAATAACGTTTATTGTTGGATTCCGTAAAGGTAGTATGACCATTTTGCTGTAAACCAATATGTCTTTCATCCGAACCGGGTGGTATATGACCTACAATATACACCTGCAAATAAAAGATAAAAAACAAAATCAAATTAAACTTGTTATTTAAGTTTGGTTAAAGAAAAGTTAGTAATAGAGAAAGAAAGAGAGTGCTAAAAATAACAAAAATACATGAAAACAATTGATTTTCAATTATCATTATTTTAGCAAGAATTTAGTTTTTTTTCCCAAATTTTTGTGTATTTAACTGTGTTGTTTTTAGTTTAAGTTTAATGTTTTTTCCTGTTTAATATATATGTATGTATGTGTGTGTATTCTAAAAAACTTTCTCCCTTAGACCAAGACTCTGTGTGTGTATGTGGCACGTCTTCTATTACCACTTTGCTAAGTAATACAAACATTTTTGAAGATGATGGTAATGATGATGATAATGTTGGTAAGGATGCTTATCGTCTAACTAGTAAAATAAGTTTGAAGTTTAAGTTATCTTCCAGTTGAATAGGCTCAAATTCTGCATTTAAACAACTTTTTGAAAGTAAACTTACAATAACAGTGAGTTGTAAAACTTCTAACCAACTTGTTCAAGTTTACTTTTTTTTCGTCTTTTATGGCTTTTTACTAAACATGTAAAACTAAATGTATATACTTACATATCTACATATATTCTGTCATACTTATTGTTATATATGTAGACATTTTACTTGTACTTAATCTGTTTTTTTTTTTACAAAATTATTTAAAACTTAAGAGAAACATCTACCCTATATTCACTATGCTGGCATTTACATATATTCACAAGTACATTCTTATTTCGGTGCGAAGAATAAATATTTACAAGATTATACTAGGAAAACTTGAAAACTTTAATTTCTTTGAAAGAAAATTTAACAAAGTGCTAAAAAGTGTTTTTCTAAGAAATTGCATTTTTAAGTTGATGCAAAAAATTTTTTGAGAAAACATGGCGTATACTTTATATATTTTAGGCATTTGCATTTAAATATAATTCATACGCTTACGCTGCCCAATGGTGGTTTATTCGGCAGAGAACTTTTATGTAATTTGTTTTGCAAATTTCTTTAATGTATAAATAGTTTGTTTAACTTAGATATAAGTTTTGAATTTGTTTTCCAAATTCTAAGTTAAGTTGTTTCTTAATTTAATATTGGTGTATGAATTAGTTTATGAAATTAAAATTAATTTTTTCTCATAATAAAAAAGTTATAAGGTATAATAATTTTTTTGTATTAACTGCGTAAACCTATAAGGTTTTGTAAATTTGGTAATCATACTAGATGGTCGATTGAAAAAATAATAATAATAATAGTTGGTTAGTTAATTAGTTAGTTTGTTATTAGTTAGTTAGTTAGTTAGTTAGTTAGTTAGTTAGTAGTTAGTTAGTTAGTTATTAGTTAGTTAGTTAGTTAGTGTAGTTAGTTAGTTAGTTAGTTAGTTAGTTAGTTAGTTAGTTAGTTAGTTAGTAGATAGATAGTTAGTTAGTTAGTTAGTAGTTAGTTAGTTAGTTAGTTAGTTAGTAGTTAGTTAGTTAGTTAGTTAGTAGTTAGTTAGTTAGTTAGTTAGTTAGTTAGTTAGTTAGTTAGTTAGTTGTTAGTTAGTTAGTTATAGTTAGTTAGTTAGTTAGTTAGTTAGTTAGTAGTTAGTTAGTTAGTAGTTAGTTAGTTAGTTAGTAGTTAGTTAGTAGTTAGTTAGTTAGTTAGTTAGTTAGTTAGTTAGTTAGTTAGTTAGTTAGTTAGTTAGTTAGTTAGTTAGTTAGTAGTTAGTTAGTTAGTTAGTTAGTTAGTTAGTTAGTTAGTTAGTTAGTTAGTTAGTTAGTTAGTTAGTTAGTTAGTTAGTTAGTTAGTAGTAGTTAGTTAGTAGTTAGTAGTAGTTAGTTAGTTAGTTAGTTAGTTAGTTAGTTAGTTAGTTAGTTAGTTAGTTAGTAGTTAGTTAGTTAGTTAGTTAGTTAGTTAGTTAGTTAGTTAGTTAGTTAGTTAGTTAGTTAGTTAGTTAGTTAGTTAGTTAGTTAGTTAGTTAGTTAGTTAGTTAGTTAGTAGTTAGTTAGTTAGTTAGTTAGTTAGTTAGTTAGTTAGTTAGTTAGTTAGTTAGTTAGTTAGTTAGTTAGTTAGTTAGTTAGTTAGTAGTTAGTTAGTTAGTTAGTTAGTTAGTTAGTTAGTTAGTAGTTAGTTAGTTAGTTAGTAGTTAGTAGTAGTTAGTTAGTTAGTTAGTTAGTTAGTTAGTTAGTTAGTTAGTAGTTAGTTAGTTAGTAGTAGTTAGTTAGTTAGTTAGTTAGTTAGTTAGTTAGTTAGTTAGTTAGTTAGTTAGTTAGTTAGTTAGTTAGTTAGTTAGTTAGTTAGTTAGTTAGTTAGTTAGTTAGTAGTTAGTTAGTTAGTTAGTTAGTTAGTTAGTTAGTTAGTTAGTTAGTTAGTTAGTTAGTTAGTTAGTTAGTTAGTTAGTTAGTTAGTTAGTTAGTTAGTTAGTTAGTTAGTTAGTTAGTTAGTAGTTAGTTAGTTAGTTAGTTAGTTAGTTAGTTAGTTAGTTAGTTAGTTAGTTAGTTAGTTAGTTAGTTAGTTAGTTAGTTAGTAGTTAGTTAGTTAGTTAGTAGTTAGTTAGTTAGTTAGTTAGTTAGTTAGTTAGTTAGTTAGTTAGTTAGTTAGTTAGTTAGTTAGTTAGTTAGTAGTTAGTTAGTTAGTTAGTTAGTTAGTTAGTTAGTTAGTTAGTAGTTAGTTAGTTAGTTAGTTAGTTAGTTAGTTAGTTAGTTAGTTAGTTAGTTAGTTAGTTAGTTAGTTAGTTAGTTAGTAGTTAGTTAGTTAGTTAGTTAGTTAGTTAGTTAGTTAGTTAGTTAGTTAGTTAGTTAGTTAGTTAGTTAGTTAGTAGTTAGTTAGTTAGTTAGTTAGTTAGTTAGTTAGTTAGTTAGTTAGTTAGTTAGTTAGTTAGTTAGTAGTTAGTTAGTTAGTTAGTTAGTTAGTTAGTTAGTTAGTTAGTTAGTTAGTTAGTTAGTTAGTTAGTTAGTTAGTTAGTTAGTTAGTTAGTTAGTTAGTTAGTTAGTTAGTTAGTTAGTTAGTAGTTAGTTAGTTAGTTAGTTAGTTAGTTAGTTAGTTAGTTAGTTAGTTAGTTAGTTAGTTAGTTAGTTAGTTAGTTAGTTAGTTAGTTAGTAGTTAGTTAGTTAGTTAGTTAGTAGTTAGTTAGTTAGTTAGTTAGTTAGTAGTTAGTTAGTAGTTAGTTAGTTAGTTAGTTAGTTAGTTAGTTAGTTAGTTAGTTAGTAGTTAGTTAGTTAGTTAGTTAGTTAGTAGTTAGTTAGTTAGTTAGTTAGTTAGTTAGTTAGTTAGTTAGTAGTTAGTTAGTTAGTTAGTTAGTTAGTTAGTTAGTTAGTTAGTTAGTTAGTTAGTTAGTTAGTTAGTTAGTTAGTTAGTTAGTTAGTTAGTTAGTTAGTTAGTTAGTTAGTTAGTTAGTTAGTTAGTTAGTTAGTTAGTTAGTTAGTTAGTTAGTTAGTTAGTTAGTTAGTAGTTAGTTAGTTAGTAGTTAGTTAGTTAGTTAAGTAGGTAGGTAGGTAGGTAGGTAGGTAGGTATTTAGTTAGTTAGTCGGTTGCGAGCCTTTGCCAGTGCCTTTGGTGGGAATGGAACCCATGGTCTCCGGTCTACCGCACTCCAGCACTAACTCACCGCAACAGTCCTTAGAATATTCAATATTTTAAATCTTTTTCAAATTCTTTTTCTCTTTTAAAATTCCGAAAATGTCTTATTTGTCTCAACTAAATGTCCATCCCTTTTTCAAAATAGACAAATGAACATTCATTTCAAATCATTCATCATCTACAATAACTACATTAAAATAATTAAAGACAAATAGATTTTCACACAAAATTTGACTACTTTATCACAAAGTGCTTTGGATATTATGCCATTTATATAACTATGTAAATATGTATGTACGTATGCATGTATATTTTGCCTTAGACATTTTCAAATAAAAAATCAATAATATCCTGAATAATATCTACACAATAAAGAAACAACAATGAAAAGAAAGCAACAATAACTACAAAAAACATAAGTATAAATCCTAACAAAAATTCAATCAGAAGCCACTCAAATTGATTGTTTTGTATTATAAACAAAAGAATTGACAAAAAAAATGGAAATACAAGAAACAAATATGTATTTTCTGATGTTATTACTCAAAGTAGTCGTACGAACAATTCCACCTAGAAATGAATTTTAAATTTATGGACATTCATTAAATATTAAAGGAAATATACGTATGTATACATATGAATGGACATTTGTATGTAGATAAGGTAGATAAGTTTTTTTGTATTTCCGTAAGTTTAAGTTAAAGAATTTAAGTGTAAAGAAATAAGAATTTAAATATGTTATGACAATTGTATAAAGGGTCAAAATTTTACCTAAGTCTATGAAAAATAATAATATCACAATAAACTACAGCTTAAATAAGAAAAGGTTACTTTCATAAATGTAATAACAGCTTAAAATTTATTTATATCTATTATAAAATGGCCTGACTTGTGTCAAAATAACATCGAAAGTTTAACAGACGTCATTTGAAGGAAACGCCTACAAAATATTCGGTTTTTATATTAAATGTCAAACATTTCTTTTATTCTATTTACAAAATTACAATTTCGAGTCCTATACCAATGTGTATAATTTGTAAGTCGTAAGATTTTACAACAGCTGTTGTCATGTTAAGTATTTTCTATATTACCATTTCTTACAACTTTTAAAAGATTATGTAAATGCCGTAACGTATTATTGTTCTTTAACTTATTAAATCTTAATACGATATACAACTCCTTTATGATTGGCCCATATATATTTTTCGTTAGTGCAAACGTCTAATATTGTTTTAAGGAAAACCTCTAGAGACTAAAGTGTAAAAACATGTAGTTAGAAAGTGGCATACAACTTAGCTAGACAATAATAGATAATTTATGAATATTATTAAACTAAGTAAATGACAACATTAACATAAATGACACAATTAAGGTGATTATTTTGAAGTCAAATATTTATTTAATTAGGGTGTTAAATTGGTTTAAAAATAAT